AAACTTGTCTCTTCACAAGTTCACGAGGTATCAGAAGCGAAATCACCGAGTCTGAATCACCTATTCGAGTCAGCATTTCGTTACATTCCTTGCTAATTAGTCCCCCGACGATAGTTAACTACCACGGTAGTCCGACGACAAGGTTACCAAAAAGGGCTACTACGGAGTACCTACACCAACCTGGCAAAGAGGGACCGATTTTTACCTCGGCAAGCAACATGATTGGCCACCATCTTTGGGGAAACAGCTGCAAGGTCTGAAGCTCAAAAGTGCTCGACCGTCCTCTTAGCGGCCGGGGCCTCGGCATTCTGCGTCTTTGAGACGCTGTTTCCCCGCATCCGAGCTCCCCATAGACCCCAAGAATCGTCGTTGTTACATGCTTAGTTGTGGATTTGGGTGGTGTTTTGACGCTGTTTTTGGTCACAAAGCCACAGCGGATAGTGCGGAATTTGTGCCGGTAATTACATAGTACTACGTACTAGGCAGCTCAGGGAGGGAGGAAACCTGGAGAAGCTCATCCCTATCCGTACCCGTATTCCCGGGGTAAAAAGAAAGTGGTGCTGGAAGAGGGGGAGGCGAAAGCTTGTCAACTTCACCTATTGTTTTCTTGCAAAGCACATGAAAGACAGTAGACATCTGTATACCTTATTAATCGTTTCTAAATAGCCGGGGGGAATATATCACCAGGTCCTACCCCAGATTATCTATCCAGGTGTCTGTTTCACTCGTCCTCATCCATTGAGATTGGCAACCCCCAAAACACTCCCAAACCATCACCGAGCTCAACTAGAAGCTCCCTCAAATATCACGATTATACCATAGAAACAAACCCCCTATATCCTTCCAGACACACATTACACACATCACACATCATGGCGCCCAGACAACAACGTCAAAAAGCGCCCTGCTACGTCCTCGGCGTCGGCATGACCAAATTCATCAAGCCCCGCGGCAAGGTCGACTACACGGAGCTGGGCTTCGAGGCCGGCGTCAAGGCCATGCTCGACGCCCAGATCAACTACGACGACGTTGAGCAAGGTGTCGCCTGCTACTGCTACGGCGACAGCACCTGCGGTCAGCGCGTCTTTTACCAGTTCGGCATGACGGGCATCCCCATCTACAACGTCAACAATAATTGCTCCACGGGGTCCACCGGCCTTGCCATGGCCCGCAGCTTTGTGTCCTCCGGCGCCGCCGACTGCGTGCTGGTCGTCGGCTTTGAGAAGATGATGCCCGGTTCGTTACAGAGCTTTTTCAATGATCGGGAGAACCCCACGGGCACGACCATTAAGATGATGGCTGAGACGAGGGGTATCACCAACGCACCCGGTGCTGCGCAGATGTTTGGAAACGCTGGGCGAGAGTACATGGAGAAGTATGTCCCTTTCGTGTCTTTACACAAGCTGCTAGGTAGCACCCATATCTAACATATCATGGGTAGATACGGCGCCAAGGCCGAGGACTTTGCGGAAATCGCCCGCATCAACCACGAGCACTCCACAAAGAACCCCTACTCTCAGTTCCAGGACGTCTACACCCAGGAGCAGATCCTCAAGGCCCCCGAGATCTTTGCGCCCCTCACAAAACTACAGTGCTGCCCGACCTCGGACGGCGGCGCCGCCGCCGTGCTCGTCTCGCAGGCCTTCCTCGACGAGCGGCCCCACCTCAAGGACCAGGCCGTCCTCGTCGCGGGCCAGTGCCTCGCCACCGACGCGCCCTCGCTCTTTTCCCGCTCCGCCATCGATCTCATGGGCTTCGAGATGACGCAGCACGCCGTGAAGGCTGCCATGGGCGAGGCCGGGCTTACTCCCAAGGACGTGCAAGTCGTCGAGTTGCACGACTGCTTCTCGGCCAACGAGATGATTGTGCTCGATTCCCTCGGGTTGGCGGAGCCCGGGAAGGCGCACGAGCTGGTGAGGCGCGGGGATATTACGTACGGAGGGAAGTACGTCGTCAACCCGTCGGGCGGGCTGATTTCCAAGGGGCACCCGCTTGGCGCCACGGGTATTGCGCAGTGTGCTGAGCTGGTCTGGCACTTGCGTGGCTGGGCCAACAACCGCGCCGTCAAGGGGACCAAGGCCGCGCTGCAGCATAACCTAGGCTTAGGAGGCGCCGTGGTCGTGACGGTGTACCGTCGCGCGGATGGTAAGGAGGCGCCGGCAATTGACTCGGCGGCGGTGGGCAAGGCGAATAAGCTTGGGTATAACCCGGCGGTCGAGGCCAAGGGGTTCACGGCGCAACAGGCGGCGGCTGTGCGGAGTAAGACCAAGAGGAGCGATTGGGCTTTGCAGGATACGGAAGAGAAGGTTGAGGCGCGGTTCTAGGCGCGGAGGGGTTTGTCAGGATGTTAGGTCTGTATTAATGAAATTGTGAAAAAAGAACAGCTATGAAATGTATGTAGCATCGATCAAAGTCGCTGGCTTCGTCTCATCATCATTGACATCGTTGGATTCTCTCTTCTCCCTGAGTACCTCTCAGCTCCAGACGAGAGTTGACACAGGAGGACCCTACGTGCTGTTCGTCTTCTTGACTTCAAACGTCAACAGCGTCACCCAGTAACCCTCGCCTCCGTACTTGGTGTCGTCCTGGTAACCGCGGTGAACCTCTTTGAAGCCCAGCCTTTTGTACACGTTCAAGCCGGCCGGGAAAGCCAGGATAAAGACGTCGATCCCCGTCTCCTCAGCAAGCCGGATGCCCTCCTGAACGAGGACGGTGGCTATCCCCTTGCCTTTGTGGTCGGGATGAACAGCAAGGTAGTCGAGGCCTGCATTTACACCTTAGCTCAAGAACAGAGGGTTCTCGCAAGGGAAACGAAGTAATGAGCCCGGCCCCGGATTTTAAGCCTGAAAGCCCGGGGTCACTCCCGTTCACTTTGCATCCGACGGGACACTTACTGATATACGGTTTCTCCGCCAGAATCCGCATCTTTTGCGGAACGCAATCATCGATCCCGTCCATATCAATCGGCTCCCACCACGCCGCATCAGAGCGCTCTTTAATCGCCCTCCTCTCCTCTTCACTTACCGCCTCCACTGTAATCCTTGAGCTGGCCCACGCCGCCGCATCGCGGTGACCGGCCGGGAGCTCCCAGCGCGCATAGCCCACGAGCTCGCCTGTTTCAGTGTCGACGGCCTTTTGGTGGCGCAGGGCAGCGGAGTCGCGCAGGAGGTTGTTTGGCATGCGCTTTGTGGCTTCGGCGATGAGGAAGTCGAGGGTTGTCTTTTCGGGCCAGAGGAGGTTCCAGTTTGGGTTTGTCCAGAAGGCGGACATGTTATTGCGGGCTAGGGCGGGGCTGTCGGCGAGGGTTACGGGTTGGATTGCGTAGGGGGCCATGGTTGAAGATGTTGTGCGAGCTTGATAAGGTTGGTTGTCTGGCGTTTGAGGCTCTAGGTTGATATGTTGATAGATTGATGGTTTTTCAATGTAGGATTGCCAAGGATCGTGGGCTAGTTTATATATCAAGGCTCGAGACGGTGTAGGTCATCAACTCCTGTAAGTCAATGATGCAAAGTTGCGATGTGGTCTTTTCTTGATTATGACAGGTTTCCTTGATTGCGTGATTCGTTATATTCAACCGTGAAGATGGGTTGCAAAGGTAAGTAAGCTAACTGGAATGAGCTGTGATGAAGAGTCACTGATTGTTGCGGATGAGTCTTTCGAGAACGCTGATTTGCCGGGGCAATCTTTTGGAAGAATTCAAAGCCGTGTATCCTGGTCTTTTCTTATTGGAGGAGATGTGGCCACTGTAAAGGTTGCACCGCTTACTGGCCACGAAATCCCGACTTCAACTTATTGAGTCTTTAGAATAGGAAACCTGCTTAATACGTCTCCTGGTGCATCAATAGATATCGCCAAGTTTCAAATTCTGCAACGCTTCAAGACTTTCAATGAAGTTACGGAACAGTCTCTTGGGTTCGGAAAACAGCCATGACTCGGATTTTCTCCGTAGCGTACGTAGATGCTGATTGCTGACCGGCACAGAATTGCCGAGAAACACATTGAAGGTGACGTGTTTACTTCGACTGGGCCTGAGCCTCTCTTTTTTATAAACTTCAATTGAGCCATTCGTGATTCTGCTTGTAACGTTATTAGGTGAGGGAATTGGCAAGTTGCATCCTCCCCGGCACGAGACCTTGGGTGTCAAGTCAAGTCGCCGAGGTGAACCTAAGCTTTTCGCCAAAACATGCGTGTTTATAGCCATGATTGGTCTCGGGAGAAACGCGGCTTGTAAGAAAGAGACATGGACCTGATGTTGCGGGCATTGTGCTCGCACTCTGTCTTGGAAGGCCCTCTCACGTCCGAGCCAACTGCGCGAGTCAGATAATTGACTGACAACTCGGATTCGATCGTAACAACGTACGGTGCAGAGTGGTAGAACCGTAGAACGAGAGTCATCGCAAACATTTACAGCTCTCTACGTGGAGTGCCGGACTATATTTTCATTCAAGATGGTCCAAGACCTTGCATTTTGTCGCTTTCCTCTCCTGCTTCCCCGAGATTACTCTCCGTAATACGGATCGTCGAAAAGTTGAGAGCAAATGACAACTAGCCTCGAAGTATAATAGAAAGCTTTAATCATCCAGTGGGGTCTAGTTGGGAAACTACCTAGGGCTCAACTGAAGGTGAGAAAGCGACTACTCTACTACACGAGTCGTCTGTCAATGCCCGACGGCCCATACCTAGATATCACGAGAACGAAACTCCACAACACCGCCCGCCGGGACGGCGTCACCGCCCATCCTTGCATCGTGGGCGCAAACTGTATTCGTATGTCCTCGTACAAGAAAATGAGCACTGGGACTAGAGCGCAGTTAGTCAACCGTGGAGCTTAGGCCACGAAGGATATATAGAAAGAATGGGGATACGGATAGATAGGGGATGCAAAACGTTGCTATATAACCAAGTAGAGAGGGAGCAAACCATCCCAATGGGAACAACTCATACCTAGATCCATCATCTACTTTGCTTATCCCGCCAGAGCCTATCCTTAGTCAATAACCATGAAGCTTTCTTCGTCCCTCTTTGTCATCGCCCAGATGGCCGGCACCGCTTTCGCCGCCCTGAGCGGCGACGGCGCCAAGTGCGATCTCAACATTGAGTGCCTCAGTGGCTACTGTATGCCTCACACCGGCTCGTCGCAGTACGTTTGCTGGGGCCAGCGCCGCAAGGGAGGTTAGTAGACGTCTCGCCTCGTATGAGGTTTTATGTGCCTTGGAGGAAGGGTATCCATGAAGTGAAGAGTTGCTAATGCCGACTTTGTTATTGTTTAGACTGGTGCAATGTCAACTACACCGGAACTGTGTGCGACAACGGTTTGAAGTGTGTCTCTTACCAAGGTACGTCTCAAGCTATTCTTTTTATTAGTCAAGGTTCGGGTTGGGTAATATGATATACTGACGCTGTTAATAGGAAGCTGGTTCCTTGGAAAGTGCACTTAATGCCTGCATTGGTAGCTTTGCTTCGTTATCAGTTCTGTTTTCTGCCTTCGTGGATTGCTTGGGTGGTTCTCGGTATGCTTCACGCCGTAGAAAGACACGGTATCAGTGGATACTCCTGTTGTCCCGATAGAACTATTACTTTTCGTTCTTTGATACCTTTTCAACTTTCCCTTCCTGCAAAGTTCATAACGTCATATCAATCCTGTCGACGGCGATGCTAGGCGCTACCTTGTGAGCCGCCCACCTGGCTGAGTTCGCGGCCCGTCCAGGTGACAACGGCTCATAATGGTGTTTGATACCTTTACATCAGTACAATAAATCACGAATGAGTCTAAGTGGTGATAGATCAATAAAATAATGAACACGATCGAGAAAGCCCTGTCATCTTGGTGATCCAACGTCCATTTCGAGAGGCTTACATCTTAGAGTATGTTGGAGCGAGAAGTTGTGCCAACTGGCTTTCCAAATTATAAAATGCGTCAGTCATGACCGTGAACGACCAGGTCCAAATATACATGATAAAAGTAGGAGAATGTTAGGCAACATATGCTTTGAAATGGTATTAGTATATGAGACACCGCTATATCCAACACTATCTTTGTCTCCTAGCTTCGCCGGCCTCCTTGCCCAGCTTCTCCAACGCCTCCTCATACTTCTGCACTCTCTCCTCCTCAAACCCACCGCTGTCGGGGTCTCCGATACGTAGACGATCAACCTTTTCTGCGCGGCGGATCCCGCTGCTTGGCTTGGCAATCTTGCCCCAAAACCAACCGCTCTCGCCGTCCTCGACCAGCGTCCAGGCAGCGCCGGCGCGGCCGGCACGCGCGGTACGACCGACACGGTGGACGTAGCCGGCGGCGCTGGCGGGGAGGTCGTAGTTGATGACGTTGTCGAGGAGGGGCAAATCGATACCGCGAGCGACCAGGTCGGAGGCGACCAGGAGGCGGAGGCGGCGAGCGGCAAAGGCGCGGAGGGCGCGACGGCGGTCTGAGGTCTTTTGGGTTGAGGTGAGGGTTGCGATGGACGGGGCAAGGGAGGGGTGGAGGAGGGAGATGAGGCGAGAGAGGCGGAGTGCGGATTCGTTTGATTTGGTGAAGATGAGGGCTGTTGTTGTGAAGGGTTTTGTGGAAGATTTGGAGGGGGTGGCAGCGGCGGCTGTTGAGCTGGCGTCCGAGGAGCTGTCCGAGTCCGAGTCGGAGTCTGAGTCTGAAGAGGAATCGGAGTCTGAGGAATCATCTGATGAAGATGTGGCGTCGTCTTCCGTGGGCGACTCGGAAACCGTCTTGGACGTGGTCTCGGACATGAGGTGGCCGTCGAGAAGGAGGTCGATGAGGTAGAGCGGCTTGAGGTTCGCGTCGTGTACTCTGATGGCTGACTCCTTAAGCAGAGTGGGCAGGGTATGCTCGGCGATGGATGCCGTGCTGTCGGATTGTTCGCCTTCCAAGACGATGAGCTGGGGCCTGCGGAGTTGCAGCCCACTCAGCAAGCTAAGGTCTCGCGTCAGAGTCGCACTGAGGACGACCTTGCGCACGCCGCTCAGGTTTGAGTCGGGAAAGTCGCGAGCGCTGAATTTATTGGTGCTCAGCTTGGGCATGACGGTATCCAGCCAGCCTTGGAAACTTTGAGCGAGAAGCTTGTCGGCTTCGTCGACAACCATCCAGCGCACATAGTCTAATGAGAAGCCGGGGGTCAAATTGATGTGCTCGACAAGTCTTCCGGGGGTGCAGATTAGGACGTCGACCTTGGATGTGTAATCGACAATGTGATCCGGGAGAGACCCGGCGGTCGGCTTCGTTACTGCTGCGTCTTCATCTCCCGCTGCGGTGTCCTCGACATCCTTCCATGCCTCCAATTCCCTTTGGTGTGCCACACGGTACGCTTCAGGGTCGTACTTCTCCCCCCTTTCGACGAGGCTGGTTTGCTCGTGCTTCAACTGCTGATTACCGATGGAAATACCGATGCGCACTCTCTTCTGTTCGCGGCCATCGAATGCGCTGGCGCAAAGCTCGAATACCTCCTGGGCCTGCTTGACCAACTCACGTGTTGGCAAAACGACCAGAGCCCGCAGTCTCGTCACGGCACCTTGACTGATGTCGCGCACGATAGGCAAGGCGTATGCCAGCGTCTTACCGGAGCCAGTGGCTGCGGCAACGAGGACATCGCCCTGGCGATGCTTGCACGACGGCAGAAGCAAGGGGAGAGCGGCCGTCTGAACAGCAAAGGCGTCCTTGAACCCCTTTGACTCGAGAATCTGTGCTGCTTTCGGGTTGATGCCAATGTCTGCGAAGGGTGTCCGTGTGTCGGGAGCTACGCGGATCGGGGCGGCGAGCCATGGCGGCAGCGTCTCATATGAGGGTTTCGAGGTATCGAGGGCGGTCGGTTCGGGTTGTGGAAGGGGTACCAAGTCGTATTCTTCTTCCTTCTCCTCTTCCTCGTCCACGTCCATCTTGTCCGCGGCTTCATTCTTGGCAATCAGTTCTGCTGACTTTTTCAAGTACTTTGTAGCCTTGGCCAGGACGTCCTTGTGACGTCTGTCGACGGCGTTATCCTCTGCGTTCTCATCCTGTTCGCGGTCCTTCTTCTTCTTCTTTTTCCTATCCTTCTTTTCCTTGGTATCCTCCTCTTCGGCAGCCCCGACCTCAGATTCGCGCTTCTTCTTTTGCTTCTTTTCCGACTTGATGTCTTTTGATTCTGATTTCTTGGAATTCTTTGGTGACGCCTCTTCTTCGTCTGATGCAGCACCCGTTTCCGACTTTCTTGACTTCTTCCTCTTGACGGGGGTATCTACGGCTCCGACGGGCTCTTCATGTTTGCGCTTCGTCGCCGAAGACAGTTCGTCAAATTCTGTCGGTGCTGCACTCAAAATTGAGGTGCGAGGTTTCTTGGAAGGTACAAATCGTGCATACGGAACGGCCGCCGTGGTACCTTCGGTCACGACTGGCTCGCTAGCTGGTATCGCGGATGGTTCTGGAGCTGGGGGAGAGAGGGGTGGCGAAGGTTCGACATGCGCCTGAGCCTCCTTCTTCTTGGATGGGACGTAGCGAGCGTACATGGTGTCAATTGGGTTCTCGCGAACCTTGTACAGTCGTTGTGAACGTTGCGCAAACCTCTCTTTTCGCAACGAGGCTTGACATACAAATGTTGGAGGGGCACCTGTCGCACCGTCCCAAAAAAAAGTTGGATGGGCGTTCTTATCGCAATTCTGCCAGGATCTACCGCTTGCCATATTCTCCTTATCGGACCACCATGCCGCAGCTCCCCCTTAGCTTCAGTCGCGTAATTACCTTCTAGGCTGTTGCGCAAGGTAGCTTAGCAGGCCCTTGAGGAACACACCTCTTCGTCCCCTTCCATTTGCGACTACAAATCTTGTCCCGCGAGTTCACGCTTGACAACCTGCAATGCTTCATTATCATTTCTCTAGGTGACCACCGCTCGCGCCGAGCATATAGACAACATGGCTCGAACATACAATATCGCTATGGCTAGCGACTTCTTCTTCCCGCAACCAGGAGGAGTCGAAAGTCACATCTACCAGCTATCCACGAAGCTCATCGATCGAGGTCACAAAGTCATCATTATTACCCATGCTTATAAGGGTCGCACTGGTATTCGAAACCTGACAAACGGCCTGCGAGTCTACCACATCCCCTTCCTCGTCGTGTTCCGATCGGCTAGTTTCCCAACCGTCTTCTCAGCCTTTCCCATCATTCGCAATATCCTCATCCGAGAACAGATCGAAATCGTCCACGGCCACGCGAGTTTGAGCACCTTTTGTCATGAAGCTATTCTGCATGCGAGAACCATGGGCCTACGGACCGTCTTTACGGACCATTCACTTTTTGGTTTCGCCGATGCTAGCAGCATCTTGACAAACAAGATTCTCAAGTTTTCCCTGAGTGACGTGGACCACGTTATCTGTGTTAGCCATACCTGGTACGTTGCGTCGCGCCTTGAATCTCGTTGAACGGGCAGAACTGATTGGAATTGTAGCAAGGAAAATACCGTTCTCCGAGCATCTCTAGATCCCCTCATGGTTTCAGTCATACCTAACGCCGTCGTGTCTGAGAACTTTCGTCCACTCGATTATCCCCCGACCGATGCCAATAATGCGTTTGGCCAAAACCCACCCCCCGCACATCACCTGGGACCGAACGATGTAGTCACAATCGTCGTGATATCTCGTCTCTTCTATAACAAGGGAACAGATCTCTTAACGGCTGCGATCCCCCGCATCCTCGAGAATCACCCGAACACGAGATTCATCATTGCAGGCTCAGGGCCCAAGGCCATTGACCTCGAACAAATGATTGAACAAAACGTCTTACAAGATCGGGTAGAAATGCTGGGACCTATTCGGCATGAAGAAGTGCGCGACGTCATGGTTCGCGGCCATATCTACCTCCATCCTAGTTTGACGGAAGCCTTTGGCACTGTCATTGTAGAAGCGGCCAGTTGCGGGCTGTACGTGGTATGCACTCAGGTCGGTGGTATCCCTGAGGTCTTGCCGTCGCACATGACTGTCTTCGCCAAGCCAGAAGAAGACGACCTGGTGGCTGCAACTGGAAGGGCTATTGCTGCACTGCGAGCAAACAAGATTCGAACGGAACGTTTCCATGAGCAAGTCCAAAAGATGTACTCATGGACAAATGTTGCTGAACGCACCGAGCGCGTGTACCAGGGAATCACGGGCGAGCTCAGCGAAGCCGAATTCTACGGCTATGACGCAGCCAATTCCTCGACGTTTGGCAACAGTCGAGTGCGGTCTTTCGCCCTCATCGATCGACTCAAGCGATACTACGGCTGTGGTATCTGGGCTGGCAAGCTTTTTTGTCTCTGTGTCATTGTTGACTACTTGCTATACCTATTCTTGGAACTTTGGTTCCCGCGAGAGGAAATCGACATTTGCCCCGAATGGCCGCGAAAGGTTCCTCAAGACGCGGAAGATTCTAAGGAAGACTGAACGTGGTCTTAGTATTTCGATTCGCACAATTGACCGGACTACTCCGGAGAAAGATTGTTCGGTTGTTCAATAACCAAGAGACGCAAGATTTGGGTCGATATTCAAATCTAAATGTATAATTCCAGGTATAAGAGTAGCGACGCTGCTGACCAGTGGTAATCGGCGTGGACCGGCGATGGCCGGCGGAAATCAACGGACATTGAAAATTGGTTCAGATTCTCCGCACTCCACGCTACCCCGAGTCAGCCCATCGAGTCTTCCAGATCTGCAACGAAATGCTTTCAACGGGAGAAATCCTCCAATGGTAGCGGTCTGAAAGGAAATCAGCATGGAGTAGGGGTCTCGGCGCGCCGGATGGGCCTCCGTAGGCACGACCCGGAGGGCCCCGATGAAAGGACGGGATTGGTTGGCATTCACGATGTGCTCAACACCATAGCGCAGGAACCATCTTCAACGGTCTGGGTCGGCAGTGAGCTGCCTGATCCGGTCAGGCGTCCGGGTGGGCCATGCGACCATTTGAGCCATCTAAACCCCCACCACGCGCGCATCTCGACCATCTCACATGCACAGCGACACAAGACAAAATCCATCGATTTCCGCTCCTCGTTTGCGGATACTGGCCGTAACCACCAGCGACACACACTGTTTGCTTATTGTATCCTAGCCACAGTCGGCTTCTCAAATCATCAACATAGCGATCTTCAAGTTTTCAACTTCACAAGACCCCGCGCATCCACTTGCCCGCCATGGCCGCCGCACAGGACCTCCCCATGGATCTCCCCATAATCGATCTCGACGTTTTCCTTAACGAGCCCCGCGACTCGGCTGCAGTCCGCGATGAGTGCGAAAAGGCCGCCACTGCCCTTATTACCTATGGCGCGCTCGTGCTGCACGACTCCCGAGTCGCCGAATCCGACAACACCACTTTCCTCGACTTGCTTGAGGACTACTTTGCTCAGCCTACCGAAGAGCTCAAGAAGGATGAGCGTCCGGAGCTAAGCTACCAGATCGGCGTTACTCTTGAGGATACAGAGAAGCCCAAATGTGCAGTAGACGAGCCCTGCCTGAAGGTCATCCAACGGCTGGCGGAAACCGAGCGCCCCCTCGACATCACAGCGCACGACCCCGACCCAAAGTGCCGTTTCTTCTGGCGCATGGCCGAGAACCCCCCGTACGAGACCGAGTTCCCGGGGCTCAACGCACCCAACGTCGTTCCCGAAGCCCCGCACATCCGTGAGCGTTGGCCTCCTGCCATGGACAAGTGGGGGACTTCAATGAAGCAGGCTGTCACGGGCCTGGCAGAGATGGCGGCGGTCGGCTTGGGTCTCCCTGCCGATGCTTTCAGCTCTGCTGGCAAATACGGACCTCACCTTCTGGCACCAACGGCTTCCGACTTGGTCAAGTACGGCAAGCAAGACACCATTCTGGCCGGTTTCCACACGGACCTCAACTTCCTGACGATTCACGGCCGTTCTCGGTACCCAGGTCTGCACATCTGGGCGCGCAACACGGGAAAGAAAATTGCCGTCAAGATCCCCGAAGGCAACTACTTGCTCGTCCAAGCCGGAAAACAGTTGGAGCATCTGACGGGCGGGCTCATCAAGGCAGGCTTCCACGAGGTTGTGGTGAACGAAAAGACACTGGCCGTGATTGAGCGCCATAAAGCCGAACTTCCCGATCGCCCGCTCGTCCGCATCTCGTCTACGTTCTTCTGGCATTTGTCATCGGACCACGATCTCACTCCCATCCCTCAGCTGTCGGAGCAGGCGCAAAAGGTTAGGGCAGAGCAATTCAACCTGGGTAGAGATGAGGGCGAAGAGGTTACGTATGCGCCCATGAAGGTGGGACAGCAGGTGCAAGAGTAAGTCATACGGTCACTTGTATGTGTGTTCGCATCGATGCTAACAAATGATGACAGGGAGCTCAAGCACATTGCTCTGATGACATGATGAGAAACGAGATTCGCTGTGTTATGATAGTACTATTAATGACAAAATTCCCAAAGCGTGGCATGCATTTTAAACCTTGTAGAATTCTTCTCCCACGGCGACGTCCACCTTTTCCTTTGCGACTCTATCTACGGCCGTCTTGGGGTCTTCATCGCCGTCCAGCAAGTCAACCCAAGACGTTGTGAAGCTGTCGTTTTCCGCAATGAGCGCAGCGACCTCGGCGACGGTCTGGCGGCTCGATGTGCCCTTTGCCTCCTTTGTCTTTCCAAACTCAATCTTGCCGGCCGGTTCCTCGGTCAGCAGGCCAGGTCTCAAACTAATACCAGCAAAGCCGTCTGTCCTCTTTTTAGATTCCTGCCAGAGGACCTCGTCGGCGGCGATCTTGGCGAGGGAGTAGTTGTAGAGCTTCTTGTTGCCGTCGAGAGCGTCCTGCCAGGCTTTATCGGACCACCAGGTGGGCTTCGTCTTGCGGGAGCTCAGGTAGGAGACGAGGATGAATTTTTTGATAGAGGGTGTAGCGACGGCGGCGTTGATGAAGTGGATGGCGGCGTCGCGGTCGATTGTGAAGGTGCGGGAGGGGTCACCTTTGCCACCTGCGCCGGCGGACCAGAAGATTGTGTCGGGTTTGACTTCGTCTAGGATTGCTTGGGCTTTCTGTTGGGAGGTTACGTCTTCGATGCTGCGGACGAGGACGTTGAGTTTGCCGCTTGATTGGCCGGCGCCTAGTTTTTCAATGGCGGGGACTTGGTCTTGGGCGCGGATGATTGACGTTACAGTCCAGGACTTTTTGAGGAGGATTGGGGTTAGGTGCTGGGAGACTTTGCCGTGGCCGCCGAGGATGAGGACGTGTTTGCTCATGATGGGCTATGTGTGTATTGTTGTTTCCGGGCTAGAGAATGCGTAGAATTGTATGTCTGAGTAGAAGATGTCGTGATGTCTTATAGTCTGGTGTAGTATGTTCGTGTGGTATGATGGTAGTCTGAAAGGCAGACGACCGACTCAAATACTGTTATACGTTTGGTACCAAAGACGAGACCGCGGGGCTTTGAAATCAACCTGGATAGCTTCCCCGCTCGGCCCCATCAAAAGCACGGCGTTAAGGGCCGTGGATGACTTGATTCGGATGCGGGCGGACTGGCCGAGGTGGATCTCTACTTTATTGCATGTACATCCATAGCTTGGGACAATAGCTTGGGAATATATGTCGTATGTAGCATACCTAGTAGTAGTACCATATTTGTTGCGGAAAGATGGACCCCGCGGATGAGCATTTTCGGGGACGGAGTCACGTCACCGGGGCGTCAGTGACGTACGTCCCGTGAGTCTATTTGTGAGCTGTTCCCCACCAGATTGGCTAAAAGCCGATAACGAGCTTCTTTTGGGAAAGCAGTCAATTGAGTTTGTTGTGCTTGTCCGAGTCAGAACCCATGGCTTTCGGCGTTAGTTACTCAGCAACTTAGACGTCAGTCTTGGCCAACATGTCGTGCCCCCTCCTTGACACCTCGACACCTCGACAACTGCTCATGCTCAAATGTCACCATGATATCGTGCTTCGTTCTATCCTACCTAGGTAAGGTACTTTGACTCATACATCAAGCGTCTAGCAGATCAAAGTCACCAGGGAACCCGAGCGCAGAGAGATCGAATCCCTCAGCCTCGAGACCGGCTAAGCTTGACCGGAAGAAGTGAGGCGTCATGGGCTGGAACATGTCACCTGTGATGCTCGTCCGCGCACAAGAAGGCGAGTCCTCTTCGCCGAGCTGAGCCGTTGCTGCTGCCGCTGTGGCGTTGGCTGGAAACTCTTCTGCTTGAGCCTGAGACTCTATACCAGCCGACGAGGGGGGACGGGGAAACTCGTCCAGCGCCATCTCCCGAATCATGCGGAGCGTGTTACGGTGCACCACAATGATCTCGAGCTGTCCCATCATCGCCATCAGCGCATCCGCTGACTCGGACCTCATCTTACGCGGACCTGCCACTGCTCCTGCTGTGTCTGCTGCTCTGCCCACTACCTTGGTAGGTGTACTACTAAACTCAAACAGCGGCACCTCCCTCGCCAAGATGTCAAACGCATCCCCAAGACAAACGCTCTGCGGCCACCGCTCCGCCAGGATCGAGAGAACGACGCTACACGCCCTCACGGCTTCGGCAGCCTCGGGCGCCGCATAGGTCGCTGTACGCAACGCCGGTGGCGTGGCGAAGAAGCAGTAGAGCAGCGCGACGCCGCATTTGAATTGCGCCACGAGGCCTAGCCAGAGTTCCGCAATGGGCGCGTGGTGGTGGTCGTGGCCGCGGCGCTGGAACTTGCGAAAGATGAGGCAGGCTTGGATGCAGGACTTTACGGTCCAGTCGCCTGCTGGGCCGTCGGCCGTGGAGCGGGTTGGTTGGTGGAGCATTGCGAGGGAGTAGTTGTAGATCATGTGGAGCCATTCTGGGTGGGTGAAGGTGCGGGAGCGGGAGCGAGTGCGGGAATGGAGATGGGTGCTTGATCCGGTGCCGGTGCCGGAGCTGGAGTGTGAGCCCGGACCTCCGGAGGTGCCGTCTGCGTCTGCGTCTGCGTCTGCGTCTGCGTCTGCGTCTGCGTCTGCATCGGCGTACCGGTGACAAAGAGCGCGCCAGCGGTCCAGCTTGTCGAGGACGCGGAGACGCCAGTGGGGGACGTCGTCAAAGTGCGTCGAAAAGTCGCGGTGGAGGGTCGTGTTGAGGATCTCGGATTGGATCTGGCGGCAGTAGACCACATGCAAGGCAGCCGAGACGCTTGTCTGGCCACGCGGGTGGTGATATCGGTCTGGAAACGAGGCCATCGCGCACGCGGCGTCCAGGTCGGCGTCGTCGACGTTTGCGTACAGTTTGACCGTGATTTGGTAGTCTGGAACAGAAAGGGAAGGTCGTATGTTGTGCCGACGGCGCGGTCAAGGGTGTAGGCCGACCAGAAGACACGGCGGCGCATTTGGATTCTGAGCTTTGTTGCCGCGGTCTCTAGAGAGGGAGCGGAAGGAGAGATGTGCGGTTCTGCGTCGGCGAGGTGGAGCTGGGCCATGACGCAGTAGCGCATCGTCGCCGAGGCGATGGAGATGATGCGTTCCGTGGAGGGGGAGTATATCGCGTGCATGGCGAGGAGGAGGTAGGCCTGGATGTGGAGGAGGCGGTCTGGGAGGGCAAAGACGTGGGAGAGGTATTTTGTCACGGCGAGGCGGTAGAGGGCTTGGTGGGTTTGGTGGGTGTGATTGTGTCTAGGAGGGGAGAGGCACTCCTGATAGACATGGTGACGGGAAGGCTTCTCGAGGAGGAGGCCGATGGAGAAGATCATGTTGGTGAAGTAGGACGCCCACGCTTCTTTCGGCCGCCTTGCTGGGTTGCGGAAGCCGCCGAGGCGGAGAAAGGGGTAGCGGCAGTGGACTTTGTCGTGGTAGGTGTCGAAGAGGGAGGTTTCTGTTGCCATGTCGAGAGGGATCTCCTGATCGTGCCTCTGTGCTGCACCGCCTCCGCCGCCGCTTTCGCCGCCGTAACCGTCGTGGGATGATGGGTTAGGCGGCGGCGGTGGTGGTGGTGGGTTATCTTCTTCCGAACGAGCAAAGGTAGCCAACAGGCCAATGGCGGGCGAACTCCTCGAGAGAGAGGTTTCTGGTCCGAGTCCCGCTCCCGCTCCCGATGCGAATGAGACTCTGCGTCGGTGGTAGTGCTCGTCCAAGTGCCGATGTGTATGAGACGCTCCATGCGCCCGGGACGACGATGATGGCAACAGCGGCTCTTGCGCATGGGTATGTTGATTAAAATTGTCCCGATTCTCGACGACCGCTTGAAGGCGAGCGTTGGTCTCCTCGAGACGCGATATGCGCTCCTCCAACGACGCGATGTCACCCAGCCAGGCTAGGGGTGTGTGCGTCGAGGGGTGGTGGTGTTGAAGATGATGATGGTCTGAACTCCTAAATGGGGAGGTGATACTCGCAGCATCAGCATAATACCACCATGAGTTTGGACCAGGAGGGTTGGAGCAGATCCAGATCGGCGAAGAGAGAGATCAACCGATGCAAACCACTCTCTTCGAACCAGCCAACAACATGAAACTAGTTGTTTCCTCCCTCGCAACTGCTGAGGGGAGGAGTAGGAGGAGGAGGAGGAAACCCTTACAGCGGATGGTACCCGGGGCCCGGGGGCCGGGTTTGATAGGACGACGGGAGCACCGCCTCGTTGCATTGCTCCCCCGACCTGGCACAGTTGGCGCAGGGTCTCTGATCATCGCATTTTTGCTGGTAGAGGGGAAAGGATTGTCAGCCCTTCCCCTTTTTTGCTCTCGTCTGGGTTTCCTCTTCCCAGGTTTCCTGTTACCAGGCTTCATCTTCTTTTGGAATGGTGGGGTTTGGAGTTGTGATGATCTTTGGTCAAAGGGTCAACCCAACTTGGGTAAAGAGTGGTTGTTTCAAAAGTGGTGATGGTGCTGCTTTAGGGTACCAGAGAATGAATGTCTCTGGCTCTTACACAAAGCTTAAAGAGCATGAAAAAAAAGATAAAAAAACAGAATAGAGTAGCAACATACCTTTCGCCGACGACACCGTGAACAGGCCTGCGTCTTGGTCCGCTTGGCCGGTGGTTCGCCGTGGTCTTCGGTCGCGGGTGCGGTAGTTGTTGTGGGGTTGTTGTACGGAGAGCCGTTGGCGGGGGCCGGTGGCGTCATGGCCGCCGGGGGTGGCCTTTCTTTGATGGGCGTTTCTTGTTTCCTCTATCCGTAGCGTTGTTGATTCTATTTATGGGAGGCCAGCTGAAGAGTTCAGTCGTTTCGAGTTGAGAAAATGATGGCATCCTACTCCGTACACCTTCAGCCCTCTATGTTGACAGGCGGCAGTTTTGAGTGATGACGGAAAGATGGATGATTGTCGTCCAACTGAAGTTTGCCGAGGAGATGATGCGACTGATAAGCATATCCGTATCCCTACATGGTTAATCACTCGGCACTCTCTCTCAGTCAGTCAGCTTTCGGGAGAGATTGCGGTGGGACTATGGAGTTGTGGGTCTCTTTCCCCGTCTTCTTCTGATCGGGAGTTGCGCGGTGATAAGATTCTGTTGATGATTTCCGTGTAAGTCAAGTTGGATGGGGAACGAAGAGGGGCGAGACAAACAGATCTCCAGCACTGTACCGAAGCATCTGAATGGCATCGCAAGCCAGTAAGCCATGACACCAGCTGGACCTTGGCTTACTACAGTAATTAATTGCCATTTCTTAAAAAGCCTTCCTTGAAGGGGTACACACGGGTCACTCTTGGTGTTTCTTCCCTTGCTCCGCCACCGCACAGCTTGAGATTTTTGTTTGGTGTTTTTAAAGGCATCATCAAACAAAGTCGCGCTTTTCGCAAAGCTCGCTTGATTTTGACGAGATTAACGAACACCCAAAATGCTCTGCCTTTCGGTTCGGCACTATTTCCAGCGTTAAAGCGTGAAGTAGAATTATACAACTACCGACATTGAAAAAAAAAAAACCCCCCGTGGAGCGGGTTCGGATTCGTACGTCGTTTGTTTCCCAATCCGCGCCGCTTTGACGCTATCCTCTCGCGGCATCAACTAACTGCAGGAGAAGACACCTGCAGTCCTGTACAGGAAAACCCCGAATACGCTCGAAACGTGAAAAAAAGCAAAGATGAACCGTAACGCAGCTCCTGGACCTCGGCAGATTTTTTTCCTTGATTTTCTAAATGTTGAGAAAGTTGGTCGAGACTCGCGATGATGTCGGCGCCATGCTAGAATAGGCATTGTTACCGCGCGTTATGCTCAAGATATCCCACGTACCTTTTCCCCGTGGATGGTACCGAGAAGTGCGAGGCTACCTAGAAGAGACGATCGACGGTGCAACCCTCGATCACTATAGTTGCACTATTACCGTTCAGTATATCTCTAACGTTGGCGTCCCATCCACCAAGTAAGAGTCTAGGAGAGTGCAGACCAGGAGATGGGACGGAGTGCTACCACATGACGTGTCTGCCCTCCTTAGCAGAATGATGGGCGAGATCAAGGAAGACGAGGAATCCAACTTGACCAGCGGAACGAGCCCGACCTCGGATCCGGGTCGCCCACCGCCCGAACAGAAGGCCCTGCCTTGGGTCGTCAGATTCTCGGTGGGCGACCGAAAGGTGCCTTGCCATTTCTTCTTCTCCTTACCTTACACCCCGGCGCGGGATTGTTTTGACAGCTGCGTTTTAGAAAGTCTTGACTGTCGAAGGGGGGGGGGGGGGGTTGAGGCGACAGGCTTCTTTTCTCCATGCGAAGCAACAAGCTGGACCAGGGGAGCGTGCCGAGTCAACCGAACGCATTGGGGGAGAGAGAGGCTGAAGATGACCCCGTTTCTTCTCGCCGCCTGGTAGGGCATAATAAGGATGTGGAGGTTTCTATGGATAGCAACAAAGGCGCAAGAGTCTTGCCTGATTGCCAGTGCAGCCTGCAGAGAGAAGAAAGAAAAACTTCCGTGGCCGGTTACCGAACGGAGATCGTGCAAAGCCCTGAACCTCTCCCCCCTTGTCTACGGTTCTCCTTGATTGCCCGCGCTTGACGGCGTGTCGGTGTAAGAGATGGCTGGATTGGGGTTGAGGGGGCGACCAGTCTGGCAGTCCTGCCGAGGGAGGAAAAGTGTACGATCGTCGGGGTGGTAACGGAGTACAGACGAGTAGGTATGGATTGCGACGCGGGGATCATGCAAGTTTCCGAAGTTTGCCCAGTTTGTAAGGGTTTGGGGGCGAGTTTGACAGGTGACGCCGTGACGGGGGTGTTCCGACGTCAGGTCGGGCAGCGGTGGGTGATGCGAAGAGCAGATGAGGAGGCTCTCTCTCCAGACTCTCTCCGTTGTCACCAGGGATTATTAACGTTAGTAACTTAGTCCGGTTTCTGGTGGCTCCTTTGGGGGAATGAGAGACAATACGGTTAACCCTGATTACCTTATTGAGAACGGATATGTTCGATAGACTCTTTTGCGTTGCAATGTTCGGATTTGAATGCGACGCCAGTAGTTTAGTTGGGGCTCTCCACTTGGGGCCAAGACACAGTTGGGGGCCCTCCAGGCTCCCGATCGAACTGTTCCATTGTCTAGGCAGTAAAGAGACTTCATATCCGTAGACCGACAGACTGAGAGCCTCAAGACTCGGAGAGGAAAGAAAAAAAGGGCTGATGGAACTTTGAAAAAGACATTGGCGGGTCGTGAGGGATGAACCTGGAGAGGGGGTGGTTTGGCGGCCGGAAGGGCGGGAGAAAAGGTGGGACGAAGGAAGGATTGAGGGTTTCATTGGTCTGAAGATGATCAACTCAAACATTCCACGTCTGAAACGGGCTGGCAGCAACCCTGCTAACGTGCAAGCATTGGGGCTTGACGGATAGATCCCTGGGACTTTGCGGGAGGGGGGAGGGAATAAGAGTGAGACTAAGACGTGACTACCGAAGGCCACATTATTCCGTGCCCCTCATGAGTCCTGTGGGTTGTTAGTTGTTACCACTATGCAGTAGTTGTCTTGCGGGACGGGACTTGACACGCTTGCTGTCAGTTGAGCAGTAGGTAGACAGACATATTGAGTCTAGTGCTGCAGACGACTGTGCATCGGAGCCGCGCTTTGAGCCTCCAACTGGCGTGCAGGGATCATTATCAATACCATTGTGAGACGGTTGCGACCCCTGGAGATCCCTGGTACATTGATCATTGTGCCATTGAGACATTGACACACTCATACGCAGTTACGCACAGAGGATGAGAGAGAGAGGAGTGTGAGTTGCTCCCTCTCTCACTGTCCCGACTCTGCGTCACGTCAGCCAAAACTCTCACAGTAAGGTTTCTCGGATGATGGGGGGGAGGGTGTTCAAACCGTAAGAGAATTTGATGTGAACGACGGTCGACGGACCGAGGGAGAGACGAGGGATGGATGGGGGCACACAACACAATGTACTTGGCACCATGTCATGTACTCCGAGCCAGAATACTCCGAAGAGTGTAAGAGGGAGGGGGTACGTGGCCACCGGGACATCTTTGTTTAAAGATTCCTGTCCCCCAGCCCTCTTTTTCTGGGACGGCAAGTGCCTTGGTCTCTTTTTTATTTATTTTGGGACTGACATTGTATGATGTTTATTAAGTGTTTAATTTGTCTTGTTTGAACTGGCCTTGACGTTGACAGCTTCCGAGGCTTGGCAAAAAGAAAAAAAAACCAACAAGACGAACAAGCAAGAGAAATAGAGAGAGGGCGATTGTTGAGCCGCTGGATCGACTTACATCGGAAAATACCACCCACCTCACGCCATCACCTGACACTACCTGGTCGTCATTGGGACATTGAACCTGTTTTTCGAGAACAGGATTCCATCATACCTCACCACACGCGTTGGTTACGAGGTTATTCGGAGGATTTCCTGCCAATATCATAGGGCCTCGAACTCATACTGAACATAATCTACCACGACGCAACGAATATATTCAAA